AATGAAGAAGTCAAATTGTCATTATTTGCAGATGACATGATACTCTATATAGAAGACCCCAAGAACTCCACCAAAAGTCTTCTAGATTAATAACCAAATTCAGTAAAGTAGCTGGATACAATGTCAACACACAAAAATCAATAGCTTTCCTCTACACGAGCAACAGATTCACTGAGAGAGAAATAGGGCAAACAATTCCTTTCACAATAACATCCAAAAAAACTGAAATACCTAGGAATCAACCTGACAAAAGAAATCAAAGACCTGTTCTCAAAAACTATTGCACTCTGAAAAGAGTGATTGAAGAGGATATCAGAAAATGGAAAGACATCCTTTGCTCCTGGGTAGGAAAAATCAACATAGTGAAAATGGCCATACTTCCAAAACTGCTATATAGATTCAATGCAATCCCAAATGAAATCCCGGCAGCATACTTCATGGATCTTGAGAAAACAATCCAAAAATTCATTTGGAACAAGAAGAGACCTAGAATAGCAAAAGCAATTCTAGGCAGCAGAGACATGGCAGGGTGTATCACAATCCCCAATTTGAAACTATGCTACAAAGCTACTGTGAGAAAAGCAGCACGGTTCTGGCAAAGAAACAGACCTGAAGACCAGTGGAACAGATTAGAAGATGCAGAAACAACTCCCGACACACTCAGCCACCTCATCTCTGACAAAGGAGCCAAACACCCTCGCTGGAAGAAAGATAGCCTCTTTAATAAATGCTGCTGGAAAAATTGAGTTTCAACTTGCCAAAGATTAAAACTAGGCCTATATCTCTCACCATGCACTAAACTAAAATCAAAATGGATTAAAGATCTAAATATTAAAACCAATGCTGAACTCGCTGGAAGAGAGTTTAGGTAGAACTCTTGAAGATATTGGTGTAGAAGACATTGGTGTAGGAAAAGCTTTTTTGAACAAAACCTCAGGTGCCTGTGAAATAGCACAAACAATCAAGAAGTGGGATCTCTTCTTAATAAAAAGCTTCTGCACAGCAGGAGAAACCACCAGCAGTGTGAAGAGACAACCCACAATATGGGAAAAAATTTTCACCTGCTGTTCCTCAGACAAAGGTCTGCTATCTTGAATCTATAAAGAACTTTAAAAAATCAGACCTCCCAAATTTAAGGACCCAATCCAAAAATGGACGTCTGAAATGAACAGACATTTCTCAGACAAAGAAGTAGAAATGGCAAATAAACGTGAGAAAATGTTCAACATCACTGGTCGTTCGAGAGATGCAAATGAAAACAATGCTGAGATTCTACCTCACACCCGAAAGAATGGCTGCTATCATGAAATCAACCAATAACAAATGCTGG